AGTGCCGCTGCCGGGAGCTCTGCACAGGGACCTCCGCAGCCTTTGTCTTTGCCCAGAGCTACAGGTGGTTCCAGTTACACGCTGTCATTCAATCAACTGGGCAAAGGCTTCACCCGAATCTGCAGAGCCATCTCTCATCCACCCACCGCCTGTCTCCCACGTTAAAAATACCCCAGCACTCGCACAGAACCCGATCCGACGGCCGAGGGAGACCCGCAGGACATGGCGCTGCCGGGGTCACCGGCACAGGACGCTGCCGAAGCCATCACCTTCCCCTTCCCAGGCTGCTCTCTCCAAACCCCCCGTCCTGCGGCTGCGGGGAGCCCGCGGCGTTGCTGCTGGCTTGGCTGGCTGTTCCCACGCAGGAAGAGAAAAATAAACAGACAACTGGCTGTACTTGCTAATCATGTCACAGCACTAAAACAAAAGGGATTTTTATTGATCTGAGCGGGCTCGGCTCCAATTGGGAAGAGGATGGTTTAAAATAGTTGCTTAAAACCATATTTTCAAAACGAAGGATGTTCTTGTTTTGTTTTGCTTTGTTTTAGCATGATCAGCCTCGACTGGAAAAGCCCTTTAAGCTCATGGAGTCCAACCATGAACCCAACACTGACCAGTCCCCAACTAACCCATGTCCCTCAGCACTATGTCTACACGACTCTTCAATCCCTCCAGGGATGGGGACTCCATCACTGCCCTGGGCAACCCCTTCCAATGCCTCAGATCCCTTTCAGCAAAGAAATTCTTCCTCACATCCCATCTCAACTGCCCTGGCCACAACTGGAGCCCATTTCCTCCTGTCCTGTCCCTTGGTCCTTGGTTGAACAGACCCACCCCCACCTCTCTGCACCCTCCTTTCAGGGACACTCCTCACCCCCAGCCTGTACACAGCATCATGAGCACACACAGCACTCGCAAGGAGCATTTCTAACACACGTCATCCAACAGACACTGGTTGAGCAGCACCCATCCCAGCTCCTCAGGCACCAGGACTTGATGCTCCAAACCGAGACAAAAAGCAAATAAACAAAACAGGAGGAGGAAAGGAAAAAAAGGAAAGAGGTGGAAAAAAAGCACAGCAAGAGCTGGACCCAGGAGAGATGAGCTCCAGGGATGATTCTCCCAGCTCCTGCGAGGCACAGCGTGCCTACGGGGAGTCACCACCCGTGTGATGGGCCTTCTGCTGCCCACGGGGGCACCCGGATCCTTTGGGTTACTCGAACTCCTGGGGATTGGTTCACCCAGGACCCAGCGGTGCCATGATCCAAAGGGATCAGGAACAGGCGCCAGGCAAAAAAATAAAATAAAATAAAATGAAATGGCATTTCCGAAGCGCGGCGAGCGGGCGGCAGCGCGGGAGGATGGCTCCTGGCCCGGCCACGCAAGGTCAGAGAGCTCGCTGGCAGCCAAATCAGGCGAGGAGCATCTGAGAGGAGTGCATCTCAGAGGCCTCAGCGGCTAGTGGAAATTTCCAGAACGTCCTGGACAAGAATGACTTACTGGAAGTGATACATAAATCAAGCAAATGAATAGTTACCAGACAGCAGCATAAACAGCTGCCACGGGGATGAAATCAGACCTGCTGTGCCAAGAGGCGTCAGCCTCCTCGCCGGCTGCACCTTCGGGGGGAAACGGGGAAAACAAACCAAGGAAAAGAACATTTCTGAGGAAGGAGCCACCCCAGTCCTGTGCAGGTGCCACGGTGGTGGGCATGGAGCTGCTGGGCATGGAGCTCCCCATGGCAAACACCGCGCCGCTGCCGGGGACCCCTCGGCACAGCCCGGGGAGCACGGCACGGGGCTGCCAAGGTCGGGACTGCTCCACTCAAAGGAAAACAAGCACTGGGTTGTATTTTTAGGCAGAAGACCTGGAGGATTTTTTTCATCTTCTCCTTTGCCAACGAGCCCTCGTTCAGCAGCGAGCCCTCCAAAACACGCTTCGCTCCGTGTCCGGCCCCTGCCCTGTCCTGCCGGTGGGTAACGGAGGGGGGGGTCTGCCCGTGTCCAGCCCCTGCCCCGTCCTGCCGGTGGGTAACGGAGGGTGGGTTCTGCTGGAGCTGCGGGGCTGTGGCTGAGAACAGCCGCTCTCAGACCCCATGGAAACCATCCGAGCTGATAAGTGGAAAACAATTTGTGTTAGAGATAGCAATCACTATCATGTTGGTTAAAACACGTAAACTAGAAAACACCACCACAGGAAAAACAAAGGGAACTAGTCACTGCTGGCCAGGCCGCAGCTGCGAATGATTAAAGATAATTAATTCTGCTAAATACACGTACACACATTGCTTCTGCAGCCTCCTTAATTGTTTTGACCTTTTGCCAGGAGAGGAGCGGATGCGCAGGCAGGGGCAGCCCCGCCCCCTTGCTCCTCGGGCCGGGGGATGCGCGGAGCAGCAGCAGTGATGCACGGAGCGATGCAGAGCTGCTCGAGGGGCTTAGGAGCCCTGCTGAAGGGTGCACCAGTACAGCACCATCTGTACTGGAGAACCTGAATCTCACTGCCACAACAACACAGCAAGGCTCAGATGTCAAATTATGCCCATTAAAAAAACATACAAATAAAAAATCCTAAATTCTTGAAAGATAATCAGAGCGAAATCCTCCTGCTCTGCACCTCCAAAGCATTTATGACTTAATGAGAAAGCACACTAAAAAAGAAGAAGACAGGGCTGATATCGCAGCTCCACTAATGAAAATGGCCATTTTTTTTCTGCAACCAGCTCCACACCCGGCAGCACCATTGGCGCAGCCACCTGCGAGCGCCTCCGCTTCGCTTTGAACTGCTGCAACTTACTGGGCAGGAAAAAATAATTTTAAAAAAAGAGAGTTTAATCAGAGCCGGCACATCCTATTGATAAAAAAGCATCTGAAACTCCAGCGTAGCCATTCTAGTGCAGAGAGAGGTGCTGGATCTCTGCAGCAAAACAACTCGGGAACAGGCAAGCAGGAGCGTGTTGCTAGGTGATGTGCTGGGGGACAGCCCGCTGCACCCAAGATGCTCTGCTTGTTGTTTTCCTCCTTTCCCATCTAGAAATGGTGGGAAAAAAAAAAAATCCCAGAGTAAAAAGAGAAAACCCTGAAGCTGGTGTGAGGAGTTGTGTGCTGTGCAGAGCTCGAGCCGGCTGCCCTGCCAGGCCTGGGGAAGGCTGGGCACAAAATCATGGGATTGTCCTATGCCAGGGCAAGAGCTGGACTCGCTGATCCTTGTGGGTCCCTTCCAAACTCACAACATTCCATGATTCGATGAAACTGCTACAAATCGATGCTGAAAAAGGCATTTTGGAGAGCGGGGAGCATTGGGTGCAAGGGGCAGCGTCGCTGCCACGCAAGCTCGGGTACCACACCGGCTGGCACGTGAGCTCACCATGTCTCCTGGCATCAGCTCCTCAGGCAGCTCTTTAAAAAGTGTGTTTCTTATTCCTAAGGCAGGGAGATGAGAAGCGCTCTCATCAGCTGTCCCCTGCAAATGTTAAAGCTGCAAGAAGTAACCCACTGATGAAGCAGTGGAGACTCTGGCAACGGAAACAGCTACAAGGAACAGGAGATATGTCCTGCGTTTGCCTTCAGTTCTTTGAAAGTCTGGGGCTATTCTGGCCCGAGACAAGAGAACCCAGGTGATTTTTAAGATGCCCGGAGTCTCTCTGTCCTCAGCCCAGGGCTGCCTGTTCCTCTGGCCCCAGAACAGCTCCAGGGCTGGGACAGCCTCTGGTTCTGCCGGGGGGTGAGCTCAGCAGAGCAGGGTCTCACTCCTCGGCTTCCTGCCTTTCTCCCAGATAATTTCTTTCCCATTAAATAACCACTCCGAGCTGTTTCTCTTCCTAAGACAGCACGCACCACTCCACTCATGCTTTGTTTGTGTTTTGTTTTAGTTCCTTCCCTACTAAAGCAGCATGAAACCCACTGTATTACTTGCCTCCCTTCTCCACATCTCTCACTCAAACACCACCAGGTTTTCCTTTAAATGAAAAGCACTTGAGCTGTTAAGAGATTCCTCACACGTGTTTGGCTGGTGGGAGTACCTGGAACCGCCTGGCCCTTGGCTTGAGCCTGTAAGTGCAGAAGGTTTTGAAATCCAGATCTAAACCAGCTCTTTGGTTTTTAACAGCCTTGCCGGAGAGTTGATGGAACAGATACAAACCCGTGTCAGAAGCAAACATCTGGAGTAATTCTTAAGCTTATTTCCAGTATCATTTGTTATTTTTTCTCTTAAACAAATAACTTCAGGTTCCCCCAGACCTTCCTCTAAACACTTATACCAATTAACTCACTCCCCAGGTTCCCAAGTCCTGGCTAATCCCTCCTGCTCAGGCAGCGCCGGTGTGAACAGAGAGGGCAGGTACGACCCCGCAGCCTTGAGGCTGGCACAAACACCTGATGATGCTTTCATTTTAAACACTAATCAAAGGTTTCCATGGTAACCCGCAGGAGCAGGAAGAAGATGGGAAATTATAGGTCAGCTCTATCACTGAAAGCAAAAAATTTATTCAATTCCTTTGCCCTCGCAAAGTTTCAGGGTGACCTACAAGTATTGATTAATCAGGTTGTATGAAGGCAGATAATGTGCCCCAGAATAGTCTCCTATTGTAGCAAAGAAATAGCTTTTAGTGCTTTAATACTGGGCTTGCTCTGAAACACAGACAGGAGCTTAACCTCTGCTCTGCCTCCTGGATAGCCCAACCCATCACCATGCCATGAGAGCAATGCTCTGCTTCCAGCACCCTACGGGTTCCTGCTGCCACCGCGGGGCCGGGACAGGGCCACACGGGCACGGGACAGCAGGGAAACGGGTACGCGACCCCCTCTCTCCCTCCCTTCCTCCCTGCTGCTCCATCTCTCCATCCTCTGTTCACTCACACACGGGTTTCCAGTGACTCGCCAACCAGCTGTGACTCAACACCACACACACAGACACACACACACAAGGAAACTTTTCTACCACTCTTAAACTTTCAGAGGAAGTGGAAAAAGGAGAGAAAAACATATCAGTCATAAACATACTTTGCCAAGTGGTTCATGAGCAAGTGCAGCATCTGCCTGTTTTTCTCCGGGAGCCGATGAACGAGGCTGTGGATCTCGGATACCCTCGACTCCTGATTCTCCAGCTCTGTGTTGGAAATAAAAAATGATTTATCTCCACATCAGGGGGGTTATTATGGAAAGAGACATAAACAGCAACAGACCTCCCAGGGACTCGAGGTTCCCGCTCCCTACCCCCCCCTACACCCAGGCATGCTGCAGATTCTCTCCACAGCACTTTTCCTTGCTACCAACTCCAAACGGTTGTTTCCAAAAGGAAGAAGCTACTGGGCTGAAACAGCGAGCTGAGAGCAGATGGCAGCCGTGTGAACAGCCAGTGGTGACCAGGGAAGGGGCTGGCTGTAACCAGAGTGTTTCTCCAACTCCAGCGACGGCAGCATCAGCACGTTCCCATTCAATGTGTGCCCAAGCACCATCAGGATGCGCTCAGCACCGTGCCTGGACAGGCTGTAGCATCTGATGCTCCACAGGCTGGTTGGGTCCGGAGATGCTCCAACAGCCTAAGTGTTCAAGGAGGCCACCACCAACGTGGCCACGGACCACACAAGCCCTCCTGACCCCCTGGTCCCACTCACATGCACACAGGCTTCTCAGCTGCCAACAGAGAGTTACCTGCTCTGGTACAAAGCACCTTCCCAGGGCAGTCAAAGGAAAGCAGCACAGAGATCTGAGCCACAACTGAGCTCATCAAAACACCGTAGGCGGTGTTTGAACAACGGCCTCTCTCATTTGGGCAGATGATGGTCAAAACAAGACAGAGCTGCAGCAGCAGCTCCTGCCACCAGCCAGCTCTCACTCCCCCTGCGCCATCTGCGCTTCCTTTTCATCCGGTAAGTCCCAAGGGACACGTGTCCTTGTCACAACAACGTGTCCCTTGTCACAACAACATGCCCCTCGTCTCTCCACTCTTATTCAACTTTCCAGGACTTAAGAAGAAGGAGGCTGGTGGGGGAGCAGCAGGTCATGCTCAGTTCCTTGCAAATTAGGTTCCTCTTTCCAACCTGGTGCCATAAACATCAACAAACTCACTTGCTGCTTTGATGAAGCTCCTTTGAAACTGGTACATCATGAGCGGCCCCGGAAGCATTCTGGAAGATAAAAAACACACACAAAACATGTCTGAGTAACACCATCCACAGAAATAAAGCTTTGCCCGTACCATAAATTCAGCTCCATTTTTAGAGATGCAGAATTAAGCAACAACAACTCTAATTAATTCCCCCCATCAGCAGTTTTTTTTTGGAATAAGATCTGTTGCAGTACGTTTGATTTATTCTTCCTCCCATTTCCGCACCACACTAAATTCATTTATAATTTTAGCATTCCTTCAGTAACAGAGTTTCAGTACCTCAGTGAGCCCATGATTTCCAAGCAAGTTTAAAAATAAATTAAAAAGAGCAACAAGCCTAGTAATAAAACTGGAACAGTCACACCATTCCCATTACATTCCCCACTCTCCTCTCCCACTTCCACATCCCTTCAAAGGGACATCTTGGTGCTGCCGACATTCCTCATCACTTTGCAAGCAGTTCAAACTCTGGAGCAAAGGTTGCCAATCATGCAAATTATGTAGTGCTTTGTGATTTTCTAGGCTGAGATCCACCAAGCTAATTATACTCATCACCCTAATTGGATTTAGTCTCTCTCTCTCTCTCTCTCTCAAATAAAACCCAACACACAGAACAGCAGCAAAAAGGCAGAAGCTGCCGTTGGGACAGGTAGGAGCATGTTGTGGATAATGAGATGCTGGCTGCTGCCACCAAACTAACCCTGGGGGCAGATAAACCCACGCTGATAGCGGCACCAGCTTCCACAGAGGAATTGTTACTACAATAAGCTCAGCACCCGGTTCTGAAAAAGCCCCACAGCCCTTAGAGCAGCACTGCTCCTCTGCCACACGGTCGTCGGGTGGAAGCCCATCATGAAAAGCTTAGGGAACAGCTTAAATCAAGGCAGGGAACACAAGAATGAGCTTTTAAAAATCACACTTGTGCCGGAGGGTCAAGTGAAAAGCCATAATAAATTCTCTAAGAGCAGTTTTTCCTTTGTTTCTGTTAAAGTGCTATTGGTAAGGATCTGCAGCAACAGGCAGCAGCACCCCAGACCATCACCAAACCCCTCCTGAAGCCCCACGACAGATGTGCTGTTTCTGCCTTACCTCAGGTAGGTTTTCAGTGCACTAGTAATGGTCTTTATCTCCCACTCTGCACAGATCTCTGTTTCTGTTTCCGTGGCTGTTTTGGGATCTAAGGAAAAAGACAAAACAGAAAAAAGTGAACCAAAGTGAAGATCATACCAGCTCACACCAGCTCACACCAGCTCACACCAGCTCACACCAGCTCACACCAGCTCAGCGGTGTGGGGAGACCATCACATCCCATTTTATTTGCTATTCCCCAGCCCAGTGACCACAAGCTGATCCCCAGCAGACACTTCTGTGGGGAAGCAGAGCTCGTCACACGAGATGGGCCACGCTCACTTGCAGGGGACGAGAAGAAGAAAAGAAAAACATTAAGTGTGAGCAATGAGATGGGCAGTTGGACCCAAAGTGTGACATTCCACCGGGTGCAGGAGACTGTGGGGCTCAGTGACGGTGGTGACAGAGCAGAACACAAACACGACGTGGACCCAGACAGACAGAGACCCCCCCAGGACTCAACAGAAAACGCCAAGTAGGCTGCAAGGCATTGCCACAGCCCGGACAAACGTGAGTGACAGCAGCAAGGGTGGCACGGCCCCGGTGGCAGGACAGACGCGGTGGCAGAGGCAGGAGCCCTGCCCAGGTGTGCGGGGGGGCAGGAGGTGGCTTGTTCTCCTGCCCAAGGTGGGGAAGGGTCCCTGGAGCCAGCCCAATGTGTCGTGGAGGGTGTGGGAAGGTGGTTTCTCACTTCTTTGGCTCCACAGATGCATTTTGTTTGGACACGAGGAGGAAGCGGGGCTGCTGGATGCGGTGCTCCGCGGCTGGGCTGCGGCACAGCCGGTATTCCCATGTTATCCACCGGGCATTCCCACGTTATCCACCGGGCTGCCCACCCCAGGGACCCTCACCCAGCTCACCGCTCCAGGAGTGTGCCACCCCACACCACCCTCGCCAGCACAACACTGGCTGCGAGGTGG